TTTCTATAAAGAATTTTAAATTAGGTAACCTAAGCAATTATTGCAGTAAATAATCCCCAAATATGGAAAATTCACAACCTCGTATATAATTACTTTGTAATTCGTTTTGATAGTTTTTAATTAATTATAAAAAATATATATATATGTATAATGAAATCATTCAAAACCACATCTCACGTCTTGATGATGAATCCTCACCCTCACTTTCCCTAATAAAATCTCTTCAAAGAAGGATTTTTAAAAATATAACCTAACTTATCACCATAAACAACAATCCTATATACACTATACCTCCTCCCAAAAAGTGTAATCAACCAAATGTATTCCGAAAAGTTATCATCACGGCGCTTATACCCACCATTACATTATCGGCCGCTTCCGCCGATCCCAAAAAAGAGAACTTCATTTAACCGTTATTTTACCCACTGTATTTTCAGCGGCTTGCGCCGCTCTCAAAAGCGTCTCTATATCCGATCAACCCCACTTCAAGCACCACATCGAGGTAATCCTTCGGGTACTCGACATAATAATGGTCTCTACAATACCGAAGTAACCACAATACCACCACATGAGCTTACGAATCCTTTTGTAAGAAAAGCAAATGATCGTCGTGGTTGTATTGTAAAAAAATGCTTAAAATATAGTATAGACGTTGCTTGTATTCTCACTACAATACCCGATGATAATTTCTCAAGGACTCAAGATCAACTAACTATTTTGAAAAACTTCGAGATTCTTCCAACATTTTGAAATTTTATGGGTGATAATCAATTTTTCATGATATTTGAATGGGCCGAATTAGGAAACCTTCTCGAAGTTTATAACATATACGATATTTCTTGGAACGCAAAGGTAAAAAATAAATACTCTCAAAAAAAAATTAAACCTTTTTATTCCCAAAGGTATCAATTGCTTTTGATATTTGTCATAGAATTTTTTACTTGAATTCCTGTTTGATCTTTTATCATAACATTCGTTATGCAAGCATTATAATAACACCATATTTAAAACCTAAAATTATAAAATTTAGATATGTGATCAATAAAAGTAAAATAATAATGAATATTATGAATATGAACCAAATATAGACAATATTATTAATTGGATGGATCCTAAAAAAATTCTAAATTACCAATATAATGAAGAATGTGAAATGTTTAAGTATTTATAAGAAATTTGACAATTATCATTTTATTATGAATTTTTAATAATATCAAATTTTTTAAATTTATAGTTTTAGAATGTTATTATAGGAGCTTACTTTTAAAACCATTTCTTACAAGGGTTAGAATGTATGAATAATAAAAAATCATATTTTAAATAATCATAGGGAAAATATAAACATTAAATTAAATAATGATGAAAACCTTCAAGAAAGTTATTTTAAAATTATTAAAAATAGTAAGTATTATTTTTATTAAAAGAATAATAATTTTATTTAAAAATTTGATTAATTTCAATATTTTTTTTAGCTTAGCATCATAATCCAAAAGAACGTTTAAATCTTCAGACAGTTCTCTTCAAGCTTGATAAATTAGTTTTCAACTACCATCAAAATGGATTTTCTCAAAGTTTGATTTTAAAGTATATTAATCAACTTATTGCTGAATCTGTTGATGAGTTAGAGAATAAAGCAAAAAATGGATTAAATATGCTATTAAATATAGAATTATTAAATCAATAGAATGGTCTGAATTACAATATTATCAGAAGATTGAGGCAGAAAATTTTGAAATAGTATTTAAAGTATATTAGCCTAATATTCATAGATTTATTATTTATAAAAAATTAGTTATTTTATCAGACGTTCAATTTAAAATATAGGAAGTATTTAAATATGAATTACAGATACAGAATAGAGCATATAGTTGTGAAAATATTATTTGTATTTTAGGAATAAGTAAAAGTGAGTTATCAATATCCTATTTATTTATTTTATTATTATTTAAATTATCATAAATAATAATATTTATATTCTTTTTATTTATAGATAAATATTCTATTATTATGAAATATACTAATGAAGAAAATTTAAATGTATATTTTTTAAACAATTTTGAAAAGTTTAATTGAAATAAAATTTTGAAATAGCTTTGAATATTATAAATGGATTACATTACAGTTACATTTTAATATAATAAAGTAGCTGATCTAGTCAATTAGGCTTTCATTATAAAATCTTTATTAAAGCTATAATGAATTATTTATATTGAATAATTTATTATATTATTTAATATCATATAATTTAATATTTTAACACTTTATGATGTTATTTTATTTTATTTTTTTATTTTTTATTTTATTTTTTATTTTTTATTATATTATAAATTTTTATATTATTTTTTATTTTATTTTTCTTTTAAAACTGATCTTTAGAAGTTAACCAGCCTTCTTTAAACCTTAGAAATAAACTGCTAAGTTAAATTTCTTTTGAAAGAATGAGATTCTCTAAGAATGTTTCTACTAATGTTCTTTTTTTTTTCTTTTTTGTAAGAATAATTTTTTAAACTCTTTAGACTTTTAAATTCTTAAAATTAGAAACTGGTAAATGAAGTTTGGGCTTAAGTGAATGGATAAGTTTTTTTAAGAATGTTTCTAATATTCTTTTTTCTTTCTTTTTTATAATAATAGTTTCTTAGACTCTTTAGACTTCTAGATCTCTTAGAATTAGAAATTGATAAGTAAATTTTAAGTTTAGGCAAATAGATAAGTTTCTTTGAGAATATTTTTAATATTTTTTTTTCTTTCTTTTTTTGTAAGAATGATTTCTTGAACTTTTTAGACTTCCAGATCTTTTGTAATTAGAACTGGTAAATAAATTTTAAGCTTAAGTGAGTAGATAAGTTTCTTTGAAAATATTTCTAACGTTTTTTTTCTTTTTTTTGTAAATACAGTTTCTTGAACCTCTTTGAACTTTCAGATTTCTTGAAATTGAAAACTAGTAAATGAAGTTTAGGTTTGAGCAAATGGATGGGTTTCTTTGAAAACATTTTTAACATTTTTTTTTCTTTTTTTTAAGATTGACTTTCTTTAGATTTTGAAAACTAACTGGTAAGTTGAATTTATTTTTTTAGAATGTATGAATTTCTTTGAAAACATTTGTTAAGATTCTTTTTTTATAACTTGCTTCTTTATTTATATCTTTACTGTAATACAAAATTTTCATTATATCAAAAAATTCGTTATAAATAATTTATTATGAAAAAAGCCATTTTATATGTAAATTTTCTCAAACTTTAATTCATTAAACATAATATAAATTTTTAATTAACGAATTTAATATAGTAAGATTTTTTTATATTTAAAAATTTGTCTGATATTAAAATTCATTATATTATAAAATTCATTATATCAAAATTCACTATAGGAAGAGTTGACTGTATTTACATAATGAAAATATTTACATTGTAACTGGATTAAATTGATGAACATGGTGCAGTATATTGTAGATCTAAATGTCAAATATATCAGATATATTTGACATATCAGACATATTTGATATATCAAACATATCTGATATATCTGACATAATGGATATACTAAACATATTAGATATATTCGATATATTAGACATATTTGATTTATCTGTTATATCCATCTATATATTAAATTTAGTATAAATAGAAAATGATAAAATCATGTAAACTTTAGTTCACTTCTAGTTTACTTTTAATTTTCCTTTTAGTTTTACATTAGATATACCTTCAGTAATTGTTAGAGATGCCTAGCTTAATATTCGCATTTAGTACTTTAATTCTTTTACTTTTTCTTATTCTTTTTTATTTTCTTATTTCTTATTCTTTATCATTTATCGTGAATAAATATATTATTATATTCCTGAATCAATTGAATTATTTTGCTTTTAGTCTTGTTAAACATACACTACTGTGTAAATTATAAATTTTGAGTTAAACTGAATTGAGTCACTACATAAACTTAAAAGAATTACCACTTGAACACTCCATCTAACTGTCGCAATTTGTAAGAATTGCACGTTAATAGCATAAAGACCTTATAAGTATTACAAATTATCAAAAATTATTAAATTGTAAAAAAGATTTATAAAATTTTTTTATTAAATTTACTTTATTATATACTAAAAATATAGTAATATATCATGATAGCAAAAATTACAGATTTTAGTAATTTTAAAAGTATAAATACTAAAATATATAATCACATATTTGGTAACATTTTATATATTACTCTGAAAGTTTTAAGAAAAACTCCTACACAAAATATTCTAACATTTATAATTTGAAAGTTTTATTATAAGTATTATTAAATAATAGGCCTTCTTTTAAAACTCAAGAATTTTATACAATAATTATGACAATATTATCAAGAAACAAAGAAGAGAGAATGCTTAATATTCCTAATGAGTATTAGGAATTATATAGTATATGTTAGAATGATAAATCTAAAAGAAGATGTACTGTTAAATATATTTATAAAGTATTAGAGAAATTATTAAATGATTATGTATTAATACAAAGAAGTATAAATATATCATAATGTATTGTTTGCAATTTTATTATTTTATTAATTATTAATGTTAATCTTCAATTTCAAAAATTTCACTAATAAATATTTTTAGTTATTTAATACCTTTATCATTAAATATTAGTATTATAAGAAGATCTAATATTAGTTTAAGTAATAATGATAGTTTTAATACTAGCATTTATTTAAATACTAAGGTTAATTCAAATGTTAAAGTTATAATTATTTAAACTAATTATATTATATAATAAAATAATAAATTAAATTTATTATAATAAATTATAAAATTCTTTATTGTAACTTATAAATTAATATATGTATTTTTCTTATTAATATAAATAAAATTTAAAATATATATATATATATATATTTTAAAGAAATATTATATCTTAATAGTATTTTAACTTATATAATTTTAAGAAAATAATAAATAATAATGATATAATTATTTTATTATAATATATTTTAATAATATTATTTATTATTTTTATTTACAATAAGTAATAATTTTATTATAACTTTATAAAATGAATTCATTTCAGATTTTATAATATTTTAGTATTAGATAATATATTAATATATAAATAATAGTATTTTAGTAATATTTATAATGTAAAAGAAGTATAAATTAAATTTTTATCATTATATTTTTGGATTTAAATCTGATATAAATTTTAAAAAAATAAATTTATAATAAATTATTTTCTTTTTAATATTACCAAATTGATTAAGCAAATATTTTTATATTAAAAATTATCTATATAAATTTGAATTAAATTGAATCTATATAAAATCTTATATAAAATTTTAATTGATATATATAATTATTAACAAAAATTTATTAAAAGCCTATTTTCAGTATAATGAATATATTTAAATATAGAGTTTCTAATAAGTCAAGTTAAATTAACTTTTAAATCAAAATTATCTTACATACTTTTAAATTAAAGTACTTATTAATTATGTATAATAAAAATTTACAATTTTGTACAATCATGTGAATTAAATATGCGAGTTTATACAAATCATTTTCAGAATTCTATTTAAATAAATAAATAAATTTTAAATTTTAAATTCAGATTTATTAAGTAATAGAAAATTTCTATATATTTATTACCAGTATGACATCCTTCTACCTTTAGTTTTTACTATATTTATTTCTCATACATTGTGGCTCAGCAAAAAATTCTGAGCTGATGATCACCGCTTTGGACCAAATAGATTTTGCATCGACTCATATCATTATA